TGTTAGAACGGTGGTTTGCTCTGCTGCGCTCTCAGGTTTCTCTGGGCGCTGACAGTAACTGGCTGCGGTTACCTTCGGGCACCGTGACGAGTCTGTGCTGGGCAGAGCTTCCACGGGCCCTATGTGTCGCTGTGGGAGCAGCCGGCCTGAGCTACGGGCTTTGCTCTTTTCCCCGGTTACCCGGTTCTGGCACTCTGCTCCTCTGAAGTACGGTCTGCTCCTGTTCTCCCCTTTTCCTCACTCGAGCAGATTTGGTGAAGAGTTCCAGATAGAGCCTCTTCCTGAAGATCTTTGCTTTCTGGGGCACTGAGCCGCGAGCTCTGGGTTTTGTTTTCCTGATGGTTTGGAGTGTGCGGGTTTGGATGTGACTGGCTGTGTTCGTGGGCCATCTGTGGACAGACAGTTGTGTATGAAGAGCTGTACATCATGCGCTTGTTTGGGTGTTTGTTTCCAGTGCTATCTAGTGAAAATTCCTGTATTGGCTGACGCTGAAATTGTGTAGTAAGGATTTCCTTGGTTATGAGGAGATTGCAGTGATTTTTTTTTTTTTTAATTCTATAGCACTGTTCTGGTGGTTTTTTAACTTACTTTCAAACCTGCATCTTAAGAGATCTTGCCAGTATTTTATCTCCTGTTTTTTAGTTCCTTTTTTTAGCTAACATATTCCAGTGTACCCTGGAGGAGGTTCTTGCACAGCGAGTTACTCGCAGTTTGAACTGTATCATCTTCACTCAGTGTATTTCAGTCTTCTACAAGAGGTGCCAGTTCAGGCTTAAAATACCGGGTGGCAAGTAAACCCTACAGGAATGTCTGAACGAGTCAGAATCCTACTTGGGTTAAAGCTGGAGGTAGATTGCTGTGTAAGCATGGTGTTGCCCTTAGTCTTAAGCAGTCTGAGAGCGAGGGTGTGTTGGTTGAAGGTGTGGTGTTCTGTTACAGTCATGTTCCTGCAGCTGACATAGCACCACTGCGCGTCTCTGCACTGTTAAACGTGTCTGGTGTTCGTAAAGGATAACCTGACCGTTGTTTTTACCTTGAATTTTAGGGGAGCAGTTTGTGGTACTAGCCACAGTTTCTTCTTGACAAGCTGAGTTGGTTCTCTTGCTGCGCTCCCAAAACTAATTTGGGATTTATCCCTGGAAGAACCTGCCTGTAGCACATGTGTAGCAGAATGTGTGTAGCTGTGTCATTGTGCTCTTGTGGCTCTGTGTAAGTCCCAACCGTCTGCTGTCTTGTGAGTCAGCTGGTGTTCTTCCGTGGGGTCCAGGCTAGCAGAACGTGTCTTGGATATAGCGGTTTTTCAGAGAGAGTTTCTGTTGAGAAAAATGCAGCCTGTGTATGTAAATGATACAAAAATGCACACGAGCTCAACACAGGGAAGCAACCACTTTCATTTATGTTTCATTTGATGATGTGTGTTCTGCCCTGTTACTGCAAGCTACAAACCAGCTGCTTCAGCTTTATTCTCCTAATTCTGATCTCTATAACGGATTTATATGTTCAGATGTACAGGGCATTAGCCGGTGAGTAGTAGAATGAGGTCCTTTGCACTTTTTGATGTTTGAATTAACCCTAGTTTCTCAAAACACAAATAGGTTTGTAGAAAAAAAAAGGCTACTCACCTGTGTGGGCTGTCTTCCTGGTGCTTTTTAGTGTAGACCTTAGTGTTCAGTGCTGGTTGGCTTTAACCTTTGTATATTGCCATGTTTACCATGACTGAGTTCGTTAACTCTGAGCTAGTCCTCTTATAGTAGAAAGGTTATTAATATTTACTTTGGGGTAAACATTAGCTAGGGAAGGTGAAACATGAAAGAAATGAATTTTTTTCCTTTCATTACAGAAAGTTAGTAAAGGTTGGAGGTAAGGCACTGGGGAGAGTTGTTCAACTCCAGCAGAATGGATTTTGTAAAGCAGTGTTTATTTCACCTGAGAAACCGAAAGGAGGGGTGGGAGGCTTACAGTGTTTTTCCCTATTAATAGTCATAATTAACTGAAAATGTTTGTAGTCCTGTGTCATTGTGGTTTTGTGTTCTTTCATTCTTACAGGTTAAAGTTTCATTTGACCTGGACAACATTCAGATCAAATACATTGATGAGGATAATGATGAGGTAAAATACCCCCCACCCTCCCAACAAGTCTACTAAGATATGACTGGTGTGAAGCTTTCTGCCTCTTGATAATTTGTACTGGGTCCTTCAGACGTGTCTGTTATGTGGATCAGAGGTGGTGTTTTTGCCCCTTTGATAGGAAAAGAGCTTAGTTTAGTGGTTTCGCTCCTACTGTAGCGTGCTTACTTTAAGATATGTTTTTAGAGGTTACTGCCTTTCTTTTTCCCACCACATAGAAGTAGCCACTGGTTCTGTGTGCTCTGAGGGACGGATGCTTCTGTTGAGGGACTTCTTATTTTTTGTTTTGTCAGAATAAGGTAGTTGTAACTATTTATGTTTGCAGCCATGGTAAAGCCCTGCCTCTTCGATCTACACTCCTTCCTCTGAAAGATGTAGGTCCCCTGTCATTAGCATTTGTTTACTTCGGTGATCTAGTGTACTCAAATCCTCTGCTTGTTTTAGGCAAATGCTATAATCTCCAAGCAGATTACTGACTCGGAAAACAAACTGGTTACATCTATCTGTCCTTTCTGAGTAACTTCCTGCTGGGCATAACCTCACACTCTCATTCTTTCTTTTTATCTAGAGAGGTAGAGTAGAATGTGGCTCTCAAACAGAACACAACTTTTGCAAACTCAGTGTTCACTGCTTGGTTTGTAGCTCTACTGAACTGCAGAGATGGGGATCTTTGTTTTTATTTTTTTCTTCCCCTAAGGGGAAATTTCAAGATGCTTCCAGCAACACTTCAGGGAAAGATTCTCCCCTTATTTTCCAGCCTATATCTATACAAATGTTTAGATGTATCTGTTAGAGATCTTTTTCAAATACTAATAGAGTAAACTGGATGGTGCCATGCTGCAGTGATTAGATAGCTGCTTGTGTTAGTAACTTCTGTATGCACAGTTGATAAATAGGCACCTGTAGAAGATGGGCTTGGCTTGTATCTGAATCAAAAGAATAGTTAAGTGTTTCATATTGGGCATTAAAAGCAGCAGAGTCCAGCCTCTGCTACCTGTATAGTGAACCCAGTGGTATTGGTGCCAGCTTGCTTCCAGTAGATGAGACCGCGTTCGTTCGGAATGCTGGTAGGTGCCAGAGATCTTGCTTGTGCAGCAAGGCTGATAAAGAACATGGTCTACTCCAGAACAACATTGGTTAATGATTAAACATGGCAGCGATAACAAATATCTGAAGGAGTGTTATTTAGAAACTCTGAATAAAAGTACATTTGTTCTGAAAGCATGTTAATTTAAAAAGAATCTCAAATATATAAGTGGTTTTTACTCACTGTTATTTCTCTTCACAGGTCTCTGTGAATAGCAAAGGTGAGCTACTACTTTACTGAAGTGAAATATGTAAAGAGACCCCAGCTGCTGTTCATGGTTTTGAAGAAGCAGTTGAGAATGCTTGCTTTTTTTTCTTTTTGGATTTTATGTGTGGTTGAGCATCAAATTATTCCCAAAGGAAGGGGTTTTTGATCCATAGGAACAAATTGGAAATTACTAATTTAGTGGAATGTTAAGGCTTTAGGCTGTGTATGCAACTTCTTCCTTCGGTAGCACTATTTTAAAAGAATTTACAGAAGGTATGGGAGTCACCCCTTGTTGTGAGGGTCCGTAGATACCATGTGTTAAACTTACATCTATTGTTTGAGATGGGGGAAATTCACAT